GAGTAGCAGGGGAGGTATTATATTACTTCGGGTAGGGTGTCGGACTGCGCACCAGGCCACCTGCCTTCTGCCAGCAGGGAAACGAGTAGCAGGGGAGGTATTATATTACTTCGGGTAGGGTGTCGGACTGCGCACCAGGCCACCTGCCTTCTGCCAGCAGGGAAACGAGTAGCAGGGGAGGTATTATATTACTTCGGGTAGGGTGTCGGACTGCGCACCAGGCCACCTGCCTTCTGCCAGCAGGGAAACGAGTAGCAGGGGAGGTATTATATTACTTCGGGTAGGGTGTCGGACTGCGCACCAGGCCACCTGCCTTCTGCCAGCAGGGAAACGAGTAGCAGGGGAGGTATTATATTACTTCGGGTAGGGTGTCGGACTGCGCACCAGGCCACCTGCCTTCTGCCAGCAGGGAAACGAGTAGCAGGGGAGGTATTATATTACTTCGGGAAGGGTGTCCGACTGTGCACCAGGCCACCCGCCTGCCAGCACACAGAAACGAGTAGCATGCAAGGTATTATATTACTTCAGGTAGGATGTCGGACTGCACACCAGGCCACCCGTCTGGGTGGCATGACGCTTCGGGGGTGTACGTGCATGCAGAGCGAGAGGCGAGCTAGCTTTACCCGGGAATAAGTGAGACAAGCTGATGTTGTTTCATCCTTCACCTACCTCACGTTCGTTATCCGTAACCTGGAATGCAATCTGCTGCCGAGTGAGGCGCTCCTCTTCCCACATCGACGGATGAAAACTGTCGCCATCAGCATCGCTATGGTAATCTACAAAGTAGCATACGAACTGTAATCACGTCAACACATCGCAGGTTATTTTTTTAGATAAATAGTAACAAAATTTAATAAAATGAATAATTAAACTGTATTAAAATAATGGTAATATCATTATTTTAATATAGTTTATTTATATCATAGTAAAATAATACATGCTATAGTCTGATTTCGTTGACCCGCTCTATGAAGTATGATGGTATACATGAGTGCCGCCCCTCACCAGCACTTCTGCTAGGTTGCTGAGGCAGCATGAAGCAAGTGAGGACTCTCTGTCGATTGTAAGCATCTATTTCTGGCTGGAGCGGCACCAGCGGTACGGCCTGAAAACATGACAACACGCACATATATATGTATATATATATTAACATATACATGTCATAATGTATCATGGGTGTATAATTTATAATATAATAGAATATATAAAATGAAAATATAAATATATAGATTATTCACTTCTAATACACACACATGAGCGCAGGCTTGCATGCACATACGCACGCATGCACGCGCATGCATGCACGCACGCACGCACGCACTTACGCACGCACGTACGTACGCACACACACGTGCGCGCACGCACACGGAACAGGAAAACACACACGTGTAGCATCGTTACATGGGCAGCATCACGAAGTCACGTATGGAATTCTATAGGTTTGCTTATTGTATACGCGCGTTCACGATACCATTATATGCGGCAAAATCAATTATAATGACAGCAGAAAAGTTGCCTCTGCAAATCTCTGCAAATGCCGTGCATGCAGGCTAAACAAATAATCAGCGTATGCTATGATAACACATCAGTCAGGGGTAACGGCACAGTCTGACAGTGACAATAAATGCACGTGACTCGGCTGCCCCGCGCACTAATGCTGACAGGTTGCCATGCATGTGTGGGTTGCGAGAAATCGCGTTAAAAAACTCGTCTAGACTGTCTGGCCGGCAACTCACAAAACAAAAGGAAATCACATGCTGACTTAATCACCCCCGGTTCCTTTTCCAGAAACAATCAACGAGCAAATATAGTGCTTTTCCAGAAACAATCAACGAGCAAATATAGTGTTGAAAGAGACAAAGTATTCCAAATGCGCTTCAAGCTGCATACTTCAGAACAACCAAGTGTGCATGTGCCATTTAGCATCTTTCTACAATTTTGTGTACAATGTCATGTTTGAATCTGCAGAGCATAGATTAATTTTCAGATGAAAAACCCATGGCTTTGCAGAGTGAAGACACTAGAACAATGTACAAGTTCATGCATTGTCTGCTTTATGGACAACCCTGTATTAATTAAATAGCTTCTGAAATCAGCAAAGCTAATTAACTCGAGGCATGCATCATTACCTTGGCAGCAGCAGTGGTATCGCCCTGCTTCTTCATGCGAGCCTTATCCCTGGCCTGCTTTTCCTACGCAACACAAGGAGACATTGTAAGAACGTACACCGTGGCACTAATCAAACATAGACAGTACAAGAATAAAGGTTAGGACTACTTTACCAGCTAAATGATCCTGTATTTAACTTATATCCGTAGTAAATGAGGACATGTGTGCGTATTGTTTGTGAGAGCGAATATCAAATAATCAACAATATTTAATTAATAAGAAAAAAAAAATTAAATAAATTTATGATTGTTTCACGATAACATTACATATTCACCTTATCGAACCTGTACAACAGGTGGCGCTCATGCCGGTCCTGTGTGGTGGGTGACCTTGGCTTGGTGACCTTGGCCTCTCTGACCTTTCCATCAGCAGCAATGTTTGCCTGCAGAGGGCTTGTCTCCTGGATAGCTGTCGAAACATCAGCATGGCCCTCCGAGTTTGGGAGCACCTGATCAAACACCAATAATTAATCAATAGTTTCTCAACTGATCGGGAATTCATAGGTAATTAAACTATAATCAACAATAAAAAAATTTATAAAAATAAATTGAAATAATAATCAAATAATAAATTAACGAAATAATAACAGAAAACTACTCAAAGCGGCCATTGTGCAAACACACTTACTTATTTCATGACAGATAAAGAACCCTGGCATGCAAGCTAACCCACCAGGGCTCACATTTCACCAACGGAACTACAGCAAGTGATGTGATGAATACACCCTCTTTTCTTGCAACGGTGCTCATGAAAGCTATATTATAGCCGCGTTCACACGTAACAAGAAATCCGGTATTTAGCGTTCACACGAGGCAAAATGCGCGGTCCAAGAAATACGGTATCTAAACAGATCCGGTACCGGTATTTGATGTAAATACGCGGCTTCCCAGACCCCGATAATTTGCTGTGCTTGAGAAATACCGGATATCTTGGACTGCGCATT